TTTTAAAAAAAGAGATATTGGGTATGTAGAGTTATTGTTATTGGTGTTTGCTGTGTCTTGCCATACATACAAACATGGATTAATGTTAACTGTTTATCAGTGCGATGGCCTGGGAGAAGAAACTGTCCTTGTGTCTAGGTGTTTTGGCGTACAGTGACCTGTAGGCCATCCAGAGGGGAGGAGTTCAAACAATTTGTGTCCAGGATGTGAGGAGGTTCATGGAAGGCAGGTTGGCACTAGGGTTGCAGTGGTATCCTGGTTTCACTGTATACCATGGTATGAAAATTGATGGTTATTATACTATGCACATGTGCGTATTACCGGTATTGAAGAAAAAATGCAATGCATGTGCACCTTTCTTCCCTCACTGCCAGTCAGTCTCCACAATGGGTGCCATGTGCACACAATGGCTGAGAGAAGGAGGCTGATCTCACCAAACTCCATCCACCAAAAAAAGACACTTAAATCAGCAGCACGGGATTACTTTGGATATCTCAGAAACAAACACCTTTGAGAACACAATTTCTCTGTACAGGTATAAGTATGTGTCCTGTTTACTACTTTAATCCCAAACAATAAACATCAGTTATACAATCAAAATCATTTTCCACATTGTCTGGTTGTTTGTTAATCTCTGATTTACAAAAGAACTCACACTAATCCTGACCTGACCCCAGAAACACACACAATCTTTCCCGGCTCACATAAATGACTATGTGTTTGTGTGTGGGGGGGTGGGGGGTACTAGTGATGTGTATAGTACTAGTGTATAGTATACAGAAAGATTTTCCCTGATGAAGTTTAAAGCATTAACCAACTCTTTATTAAAACATTCAGTGTTATGGAAAAAACCATATTGACAGATATTCACAAAATGATAGTCAGTAGGAAATAAAAAGTTATTTTATAATAAAAATAAATGCATCATGTAACAGTAAGAGTAAAAAAAACAGTAAGGACGGTTGAAAATGAACTAATTTCTGTATCCAACAAAGCGGTCATGTCACGTTACAAAAACAAACGACTTGAAACTGAAGACTTGAAAGGTGTACTAATCTTATGCGATGTTGTGCATGCGCGGGCAACACAAAATGAACAAATCACTCCCCGAGACGGCCCGATGTTCTCAAGTCATGGGAAAGATTCTTTCAGAATGAACGAATCGTTCATGAATGACACATCACTAGTGGTAAACATATTCACTTCCTGTTTACTGTGCCTGCATGGTGTATTGCTTGCTACCAGGTTGCTTACAGATTAAGCTCACTGATTTCTAGGTTTATCTGGTACAGAGCTGCAATCTGCTTTCCCCTTCGCCAGGGCTGCTTCACAATTTTTCACTGTTGCAGCTTTATTAAACACCTTCACCTCCACAAACATCGTTTCCATCGTTTCAACAACCGACACCACCACCTTGCCACAGGTGGCTCCTCCATTGGTTTTTTTTTCGACATGGTTGAGCTCTTCCTGCTCAGCCCCATGCCATAAGGAACCCTCATGCCATTCATGTTTCTTCCTCCACTCCTTCATCAGGTTCATTCCTCAATTCTACAGTATTCTCCCACTTCAGCTGCTTTGCCTCAGTGCATGCCCCTTCCATGGTCATCCGCCCTTCTCGGCAGCTCCCTCAATTGGTTTTAGGGGCATGTGGAGTGAGAAATGATTTAGCAAGTCGTTGCCTCTGGAAATCATTTGTTCTTGCAAACTCTATATGTGATCTAAAACTCAAGACATTAAAGCCATTCAATCTGCACTCATTTATTAGAAAGTTATAGGGGTCTGCCAGTGCCTGAGAGTGGCAGAGATCGCCTTAACCTACCCCAAAACTGTCAAGTGCACAAGCAACCAAGTAAACACACCAGTACCCTTCAATTTTCATGATATTTAAACCTACAGGAACCACAAAACTTCCGCTTCTTGTCAAATAAATGTTGAGGAGCAAAAAATACAGTATTTGCCTCTAAAATGTGATGATGTCAAAGTATTAAGTTACAGAAATTTTAAATACTCAAGTATAGATACCTCAAACTTGTACTTAAGTTAACGTAACTTCCTGGCACAGGAAGTACATCCTCGGCTTCTTGGTGATGGTGCTGATGTTGGACATCCACTTCAGGTCCTGAAAACTGAATTAAACACAGTTTGTCCATGTAAAAAGTTCCCTGCCTAACTCAAAAGAACAATAATAAGAAACCTTAACTTGGATAATACACACTGTGGGGAAACCTGTTAAAATATCAACAAATGTTTATAAAATAAAGAATTTAAAATGTTACTTTTCAACAATATGTACATTTATCCAATCAACATACAAATAAACAAACAAGCAAATACTATTATCCAAGTGAAATTACACAAAGGCCCATTACAGACATCAAAGGGAAGAAACAGGCCTTATCTTATGACCTCATGATTAAGTGATCAGGGCCTCTTAATGACAAGAAATGTATGACTTACTTTTAAAAAGATTATGAGAACATTGAGACATGATTTAAGAAACTGGTTGATTTTGCCACTCAGGAATGATGTGAATGATATTATTAGCATATCATCATTGCACGGGCATCTGAAGTCCTTGGGATTGTTCATGACAGAATCATTTTAATCCAGTGTCAGGACTGTGCAAAAATGCTTGCAAATATATACTATTGCAAAATGACATGCTAAAAAAAATAATAATACTGAGATGATAAATACAGTACCAAAAAGTCTAAACTGTTCAAAGAATAAGGTGGAGGGGTGCCAGTCTTTTTGTGTATTGCCTTATATGACACCTCTGAAGACATAGTCTATGCTTTTAAACCTTACATTACATTTTTTTAATTCTGTGAGCACCACAAAAGATTTTCCATTTTAATGTGTCGGGATGGGCAGGCAAAGACATTTTATGAGCATCAAGCTTTTTGAGATAATTTAGGTGACGGGTATGACAGTAATACGTAGTTCAATAAAAATGCGTAAACTTGTGAATACCAGGTTCTTAGGCCGAATTTTATGATTAGCTATTAGCCTGTGGCGTTTCTTGTTTAAGTACTAATTGATGATGATGATAATAATAATAGATTCATATAAAAGTGTGACTACACTATTGGCTAACATAATGCATAATAGAAGTAATTCCTTGTGTACAGTGTGTTGTTATTTGTTCATGAAATTAACCTAACTCAGAGTTACTTGGTATTCAGGTTATCTTGGCCACGGCCTGATGGATAAGTTCCGTGCCATATTCATCAGGCGGCGCCATATTAGACTATATAGCTGCGGACGAAGTCAGGGAAGGAGCAGTATTCCACATGACAAGGGTACTCAGGTCGCATTAATCACTTCGCAGAATACTCGAGGTAACTGCTATATGGTGGATAATAACTGAATCAAACATCTCGGGCAGCTGAGTCCGAGACGTGTTGTTTTCATTGTTGTTCAGCTAACTTGCCGGCAGACATGACTTCCTTGACTCAACGGAGTTCGGGCCTCGTGCAAAGGCGGACTGAAGCTTCGCGCAACGCCGGTGACAAAGACCATCTGTCCGGCGAGGAGGACCACAAGCCCCGACGGAGTGAGGAGCAGGACGGAGATGACCCCGGAGACGCCAAAGAAACACGTCTCACCTTGATGGAAGAAGTGTTGTTGTTGGGACTGAAGGACCGAGAGGTAATGGTAGATAAATCCTGGCCTGTTACGATGTAAAATCAAGGTAAACCTTAGCGTAGACAATGGGATGTTACCTAAGCTGGCCTTAACGTTAGCTGTAGTTTCCTAACCGACATAGCTTTGGTTAACGTTAGCTTAGCATCCTTGTCTAGCTAAAAACAATAACGTGCTTCATCGCTGCACGCCGGGCTGGTTAATGTTTTACGGTGAAAATCGGTTATGTCGCGAGTGATCTTATAACAGTTGCATGGAGTCATTGGTTATGGTCAGTGTATGCAATACTGTCTTGAGCTAGACACTTTTTATTATGACATTTGTGGCTTTCGTTACAATACTAAGATAGTGGTAATCAGAAACGATTTTAACACCGGTCAGTGAAATTCAAACTGATGGACTGGCTAACACTAATGGTTAAGTATACATGTTAAGTTCTCAGAAAGGCTGTGTTGACGCACAGTGGACCTGTAGGGTCAGTCTGTAATGTGACCCCATCACGGATGACACTGTAGAATACAGAGGGTACAGTGTCATTTCATAAATATAGGTACCCCCTGTACTATCTCTAGTTTGTTTTGTTATTAAACCACATCAAATCTCAGTGGAGGTAACACAGATTTGACACTTAAAGCTCAAGAGACCCAGTTGATACAGATTGATTAAATTTAAGTCAAATATAAAACACATCTGCATCATCACTGCTGCACTCAGTTATTTATAGAAGTTGTATTATCATTTGACTCAAAGTGATTTTATTGCCTAGTTCGGACCACACTTTTTTTGACTGATACAGGTGTCACTATGTCAGATTATACAATTATAGAGTTGTACATTTTTGGACGAAGGATATAACAGACTACATGTTGGTATCCGACAGATCACAGCCTGCTGATGTTCATGACTTAGAGGCTTCATGGACCGGGAGACGACTGTATGTGATACGGAGACTGACTGCTTGTGTTCCGAAAAGCGTGGCCCTGTCTGTGGGTGTCTTGAAGAAGGCAGCAGCTTATGTGTCTATCCTTTACTGAAAGCGTGAGGTAGCAGTTATAAATTACTGTTTTATTGGTAGTAACACCAAAAACTAACTAGTTAGACCCGAGTGTAGCATTTCTGCCTGATAACACACCACTTCTCCCAGAAAATGGTTGCAGTCACAAATTCTTTGCTATTCTCATGTTTATTTCTTTTGTTTGTATTGGAACAACACAAAAAAGCCAAATCTGATCCATTCCACACAGACTCCAAACATGGACTGGACAGAATTATTAACGCCTTTTCAAAATCATCAGACATACTGTAGTTGTATTTCAAGCATGTGATGCTTCTTGAATTTGTAATGACACTCACTTGTAGCAGTCAACAGGTGCTGGCACTGTAGAAATCACACTTGCAGCCAGTTAAAATGGTAGGAGACCCAGGGGGACCCACTGCTGACACAGAAACAAAAAAGCCAGATTGGAGTTTGCCAAAACTTACCTGAAGAAGCCACAGTCCTTCTGGGAGAATGTCTTGTGGACAGATGAGACTAAAACAGAGCTTTTAGGTCGAGCACATCATTCTGCGGTTTTCAGAAAATGAAATGAGGCCTACAAAGAAAAGAACAGGGTCCCTACAGTCAAACATGGTGGAGGTTCACTGATGTGTTGGGGCTGCTTTGCTGCTTCAGGCTCTGGATGTCTTGTCATGCGTTTGTGTGTGTGAAAGAGAGAGGCACGGAGGGACTGTGCGAATACATGTGCTATGCATGGCACTACATTGAAATAAGATTTACCCTACTGATGCTGTACCCTCTCCCAAACTATAGGCGGTAGTAGGTGATCTAACAGCTAAATGGTGATCTATCCAGTGGATAGTCCACTGTGTGGTCATTGTCTCTCTCTGTCCACCAACTATGGTCGGTTCAGACCTGCTCCAACACATTCACCCTTCATCATGTTCCTACTTTTGTCATTGTTTAATACTGAGACAGCAGCATTAATGTTATTTCTTTTAAAAAACATGACTGTGACTGTAAAGTTTCATGTGTGCTCAGTCTCACAGGTGCCCCTAAAAGCAAATGCAGGCATAGAGCTCTGTGCACTGTAGGATTTACAACTTTACAGTGTCAGGGGGAAGAGTTATGTTAAGCATGGCTCCAGTGCATCATTAAGACGTGTTCCCACCCAAAAATCCTGAACTTAAAAATGACAAAACTCCACAATTCAGTACCACATGAAAAGACTGAGAGCTGTTTTCAGCAACTGTTTTCTAACATGTATAATGTGTTTAGAAACAAACCACAGATTTTTGCTTCACCCTGACTTTAAACTTAATGATGTTTGATTGTGTTTGTACTACCCAATACAACCTTCTGACAACAGATTAATCAATAAATTGACTATTTTTGCAGCTCTAATATGAATCAGCTGGAACTTCTTGTTTGAGATATTGCATAATTATTATTACAAATAATTTTTATTATAATGTAGAGCTCTGAAAACCCCATATAAATAACTGCAATAAAAGTGTGCAATCAGAGTGTCCTGTTAGTTTGAATTATTCACTGTGGTGCAACAGAAGCCTTTGTCATTGTTTGCGTGTCTGTCCCATTGCTGACCACCTCTCTGGCCAAAAAATGTAGTTCTGTTCTAGTCAGTCAAAAGAAAAGATGATTTACTGTCAGATGCAAACGGTCCAGGTGATACTTATACACACTGTACTGTAGTTCTGAATATACAACCCCAAACCAGAAAAAGTTGGGATTAACATGTGCACTATGAGGTTTTGTGTTGTCTTGTTGAAATATGCATGGATGTCCCTGAAAAAGATGTCATCTTGAAGACAACATGTGTTGCTCCAACATCTCTGTGTATTTTCCACCAGAAGTGGAAGTGACCCTTGCCAAAGGGCACTGACACAACCCCAGACCATGACAGACCCTGGCTTTTGGACTTATTGCTGGTAACAGTCTGGATGGTTCTTTTCATCTTTCTGTGCGAAGTATGAGGTTTTGCATTGTCTTGTTGAAATATCCATTGAACGTCCCTGGAAAAGTTGTCGTCTTGAAGGCAGCATACTGTATGTTGCTCCAGAATCTCTGTATTTTTCAGCATTAACCCTTGTGTTCTGGTGCCATCACATAAGTGGAAGTGACCTTTGCCAAGGGCACTGACACAACCCCAGACCATGACAGACCTAAATTACTGATTGGTCTGACCACAGTATGCGTTTCCAATGTGTGATGTGTATGATGGTCCATCCCAGATCAGTCGACTGCGCTTCTGGACACTGTTGACATAGGGCTTCCTTTTGGCTCAGTACAGTTGTAAGCAGCATTTATGGATGTAACTACGTATTGTACTGCCTGACACAGGTGTGCCATAGGCATCCTGAGCCCATGTGGTTATATCGCTTATAGAAGAGTGATGATTCTTGATGCAGTGACGTCTAAGGGATCAGAGAGCATGTTCATCCAGCTTAGGCTTGTGCCCTTTATGCACTGAAATCCCTCCAGATTCCTTGAACCTCTTAATTATGTTCTGCACTGTAGGGAGTGATATATCCAAATCCCTTCCTATCTTTCTTTGAGGAACATTGTTTCCAAAATGCTAGCTGGCACTGGGGTTTCTATGCTACCGTGTTGCATTTTTTTCGCCACTTACTAACAGTGGTGACTGAAACTGAGTGGTTCATGTTGGAGTTAAAACTAATAATGTTGAATAAACAGTTACCTTTACTAAAATTACTGCAACACGGATAAGAGAGAGGACCTGGTTCGTATGATCATTGAATCAACTGAGAGAACAAGGGGGGATTTTCAGTGCTTGTCTGGCCACTGAGAAACACGAATAAGGATCTGCAATGCAACCAACCGCATTTGTTTTGGTCTGTGTTCCCACGCTGCGTAGTTACATTTCTGGAGAGGTGTATGTGAGGCTACGAAGCTACACATTGTATCTACATCATTGATATGGCAGAGATTCAACACGGAACAATAAATCAAGCTTTAAGATAAAATACCTTATACTTGAACATTACATAATACAGTGGTACAGTTTTGAATAAATTTTAGTGAAATTGCAGAGGGATGCATTCAGTTTTTGTTCTGTAGTGTAAAGATGATGTCAAAATGTAACGCCAACTGTAATGTCTGTGCTTATGAATATAGATTTGGTGCCACACTCTTGACACCAAAATAGGTTATTATAGTTTTATCTGAAGTTGCTTAAAATGTTTGTGACTGAAAATATCTGTAGGTGTTTTTGTTGAGAGGTGTTTTTGCATGTTTACTCTGGCCTGACTTGCAGGGCCAGTCAGCTTGATCATCGGGAATTTCTTTTGATACACTTGTTGTAATTTAATGTTAACTTTTTTGTGTTTCCATGATGTAGGGCTACACCTCATTCTGGAATGACTGCATTTCATCAGGGTTGCGGGGGTGCATGCTGATTGAACTGGCCCTGCGAGGACGCCTTCAGCTGGAGGCTTGTGGCATGAGGAGAAAAGGTCTGCTGGCTAGGAAGGTAGGATATGATTTTCTGCTTATGGTTCTACATAGCTAACATTTTCCACTGGTAACACTTCTCAGTGTGGCCTGCCCCACCAAAATCTTTGCCCCCATGGTAAAAAACCAATCCATCAATGCCAAGCGGTTAGGGCTACATGATTAATTGTATTGTGAGCGTGATTTAGATTACTGTGTGATCTCAGTCTCGTGACAATGATTCTGCCATGTTTGCATTAACAGGGAGATGCCTTGCAACAAAACAGCCACTTGTGAAAGATATTCTGTGCTGTTCTGCTACAATTTTTCAAATGTTGTACCGCCTGCCTGATACAGCCAATGCCGAATAGCAGAAATAAATCACTTTACAGTTATTAATTGTAGATTTTGGTCAACGCAGCTTTGTGAAGAAAAGGCAGTGCTTGGTTTGATGCAAGGTATCTCCAAGCTAACGTAAACACGGCAGGATTGCACAGGGATTTAAATCACGCTCACAAAACGATTAATTGTGCATCCCTACAACCAGTCAATCATCCACCTCAGTGACTTGCCCAGGAAGCGCATAACCAGCACAGAGTCACATTCACAGATGTGAGTTAAGGCCAGTTCAGACGGAGCTTTTTTTTAGACACATTTTTCACGCAGCAAATAGAACTTCATTCTATTAAATATGTCTCTGACACAAGCATGCAGCTGTTGTTGTCCAGCCCATTTTTGCTGTTGGTTGGCCTGGTTTTTCCATCCGCTGTCCTGCCAGCTCATCAGGAGCTGATGATTGACAGCTGTTCTGTCACGCCTTGCTTTCAGACAGGCTGTGGTTAGCTTGTTGAGTGAAGCACCAGAGACCAGCGTACTGTTGAGGACTTAATTTAGCAGTTTAAGCAACGTAGTGTAACTGTAACTTACTGTAACTGTCACTGAAAAATGACTAACCTACAAATCCCAGTTCCAATGTTGGGACATTGTGTAAAACATAAATAAAAGCAGAATACAATGACTTGTTAATCCATTTTGACCCATATTTAATTGAAT